CTTTTCAAAAGCGTCAAGAAAAACAAAAGAAAAATTAAGGAAAAACGGGAATTTTTAGGCAAAATCGATTTTTCAGAAAATTGAATTTGGTTTTTGGTGTAACTTTAAAACAAATGACCGTAGATACATGAAATTTTCACTGGTTGTTCAGTTTTTTTTTATAAGCATTTAAAGTTCAAAAATTGACAAAATATGGAAAAATCACGAAAATTAGCAAATTATTTTGAGTTAAGAATTCGTAAAAATTTTTATTTTTAAATCTAAGATTTGAAAATCTAATACAAGATTACTCATAAGATTGTCTACCTTTATCAATAAAAAAATCTCTACCGGAAAGTCAAATTAAATTTTTATGAGCGTTTGAAAATCAAATTTTTACAACATTGGATATTCACTCGATTTCTCATGTAGCGATTTCTTTATTTTGTTGTAATTCAAAAACGAATAACTATAGATACATGAAAATTTCACTGAATGTTCAGAATAGCATTTCCTATACACTGTACAATAATTTTGAAAATATTTCGACTCTTTTTGAGCTGTTTACGGACATTTTCATTTTTCATTTTTTTTTAGTTTTTTATTCTATAAATATCAATAAAGTTTTATCTGTTGGGACAAAAAGTGTAAAAATTTAATACAAGACTCCTGATATATTGTTACAATATCAGTTGAAAAATATTAAAAATACATAGGCACAATTTTTTTTTATAAGCATTTAAAGATTAAATTTTGATAATATGTATCAAATTTAAAGTTGAATAATTATTTTGTAGTTAAAAATGTATAAAATGTTCAACTTTTATATCTAAGGATTGAAAATTGAAAACAAGATTCCACGTAAGTAGTTAATTCTGTTACCAAAAATGAAAAAATCTAAAAAATACATAAGCACAGTTTATTTTTATAGTCATTTTAAATTCAAATTTGGACGAAATTACATAAAAAAAACCTAGAATAACTATTTTAGTTATTTTGTTGTGATTGTGTAATATTATTCGTGGGTACTTGAAACTTCTAAAGTACACTATTATATATCTATGATAGTATCAGTGTTTGTTGTTGATGTACAACGCGTTATAAGTACCCAATGGATATTGTGATATGATTAATTTGGAATTTATTATAGGTCAATTTTTTTTAATACCATGTATAAGTATATAATATGTCTTATACCTAGACTGACATACCGTCTCTGCTCAGAATCGTCTTTCTTATACAATGATATAACATTGAATTCAAATTTAATACCATCCATTATATAGTGACCCACTTGTAACCTACTGAACAGTAGAGCACCTTTTTAATATTTTATTTGTTGAGGCTTAATAGTTGATGACTGAAGGCTAATAAAAAAAAAAAAACAATTTAACAATTTCTTGTGGATTTGATTCAAGTAGTTCAGTTGATCAAAAATATACATCTATAATTTATTATATTTGAAAATATTAGACAATTGGCAGATAATCGAATCCTTGCCACACATACAAAACGATTTTTCAACATTTCCTCCCCCTACTAACAACCTACAAACAAACAAAAAAACCAACAGCTAATGGCCTAAGTTGCCGGGCTCAAGCGGTTGAGCTCAATAAAAAAAAAAGAATTCATATTAAATAGTAACTTTAAAAAAAAATGGTTGTGGGGGAGGGGGAATGTCCGGAGGGAAAATTCACATGGGTCATACCCCATAGGATTATGGGTAATATATTATTTGAGTTCATTTTCATAAAAAAATCAGAACTAATGTTGTGTTAGCTTTTTAATATAATAGGGTAGAACACTAAAACATAATATTATTACTTAATTACTTAAATATTTTAGATTTTAAAGCAGTTAATGGTTATCAAACTTATCAAAGCCCAAAGACCAAAGGTAAGAACATTATCTATGTTTGAATAATGATAATTTTCAATCTTGTCATTGTTTGTACGTTGGTTTATTTATTATTACTAAATATAGTTACGATATTTGAATTTGTTGTTTGGCAGGCAATAAGCAATAAGCATTTTTGTATTGTAAAATTTTACATACCTACCTTTATGGCAATATAGTCGTTAGTCGTTAGATACTAACTGACTTCAATATTAAATAACCAAGGTACAACCACGTATTACTGAATAGACCAAATTAGATACAAATGATTTAATCTAGAGAGCCCAGTGGCGGATCCAGGGCTTAATTTTGGGAGGGGCATTGTGGGGGGCAAAAGCCAAAAGTACAAAAAGTTCCAAAATTGGCTAAGCACAGTGTAAAACATAGGAAAACCGCGATTGTGGAGGGGGCAAGTTCCCCCTTTGCCCCTCCCCCCTGGATCCGCCACTATAACAGTGGTTTTAATGCTTTAACATCCAACTTTTGTAGACAGTGTCATACGGTTATTGATGAGTTTGCAGATAAAAAAATATCGCAGAATTGAATTAGCTTATAACCAAATTCAGTATTAAATTAAGTTAAAAATATTAACTAAATATTAATTGAAGTATTAATATAATTAACTTTTTCAATAAAAAGGTATTTCTTGTTCGTTGTTATATGGAATTGATATTATATAAATTAAGTCTTCATTCAAGATCATATTTGTAATCGTCAAGAGAACACAGTGTTAAAGATAATAACAAATATCATAATAGACATTTATTAATATGGTTTAACTTTTTTACTCAATTATTTGAGCCTTTGATATTTTAGCAATATAATGGGGTGGTCTGTAAATATTTTGGGTGACAAGGCCTCCCCTTAGCTACGTATAAAATATACAAAATTCAAACGTTTTCCAAATCTCATTACATAAAATTCCACTCAAAACTTCACGCTCATTCAAATCCACTAATTAAAAATCTATCCACTACCTCGCTCATTCCTAGAAGGTTAAAAATAAAATGGCTGAGAGATCTGCTCAATGCTTAAAAAAAAAATGATAAACTAACGAAAAAAAACATAACCTAATTTCTGGTCAGGTGGCACTGCTGGGAGCCTTCCTATTCTTATTAATGTAATTTTATGTCACCACACTTACTTATTATACCTTGTCTGTTGTATAGATTGTAAATATACTATTTAAAATGAAAAAAAAATCAACAAATTAATTGATAAATTTTTTTTCTAACAGATTATCTTTCTAAATTTTTGGGGGGTACAAGCAACTCCTAAGAATTGTGCCAACTGCTGGCTTTTTATTTTTCTGTGATGGGAAGTAGGAAAACTGAAGCTTAGCCCTTTTGCATTCAAGCAGTAGATATATTATTATAATTTGAAGGGGTTTAAATTTTAACTAAATATTTTACATTAACTAAAAATATATTGATTTTTAAGTGAAGTAAAAGAGTACCTAAGTAAACCGTGGATATAGCAAGATGAAGCTTTACCACATGCTTACCAAATTTCATATTATGTACAACCATCAAGCACCGACAAAAATATACAGAATAGGACTAATATTATAGATTTTGGTTTGTTTAATTAAGATTCAGCTATTTATAATATTTTTTATAATTTTTATAATCAGCGACTAGAAATAACATGGCGATAGCCAAATTTTTAATGAAAAGTAACTACCCATGATTGATACTTCAACCTAAAGTAAACCACATACAAACCAACTGTAACAAGGAGGATATTTACCATTGGAAAAAATTCATAATCCAGTAAACTTTTCAGATATTGAATGCTCTTATGTTAATATGAGTTATTTTATGAACTTAAGGCCTAGGAAAACATTGACTTAAAAGTAATTTTAAGTTAAGTAGGTATATATAATTTTAAATGAAATTAAAATAACAAAAATACTTTTAAAAAAAATTATTCAATGGAAATGGAATTACAATGATTAATAAAAATGATAAATGTTGAATGCTGGTAAAAATTGAATAATTCACAAACATATACCATAATTATAAACTTTAAATGGATTAACATTAGTTTAAATCAAACCTATATTAAAAATAAATAAAAATAAAAGTGTGAACTTACTGTGTAGTAAAATAATTCATAAAAAATATAGAAGACAATATAGTACCTACATGCACATTTTGCTTTACAAATTGCAGTTGTTATTTAATGTACAATATGTTACAATGATATTTCTTTATAATTAAATAAAATTCATATTAAAAAAAATTATACATTAGACAAGTAAAATAGAAAAAATTATAATATTCAAATTGACATAGGTAAAGAATTAATAAATGAAAATAGGAATCCAGAAAGCACAGAGGCCAAAAGCATAAAATTTAATTAAATTTATGTTTACATTTTGCAAAAATAATATCAGTCAATATAGGTTAAGTACCTAATACTATTTAGCTAAAGTTATTTGTTCCTGTATAAATATGATTTCTATTGTGACCAAAAATATAATACTAACAATTTGTTATTTAACAACAAAATGCAGACATCTTACAATAAATTATGTAAGTAGTATATTATATTATGTTAAACATACTACCTACAAACTATAAACTATACTTTTACAGTTAAACAATCAGTAATTTATCTAATATTAATAAAAGAATAAAATATTTTTCCTAAAATCTATTTGTACAAAAATTATAATTTAAGCCTAAACATAATAATCATAATGTTTAGAATTGTAAAACGCTCCACTAACAAAAAAACTATTTTAATATGAAAGCATGACATATAAAAATAATATATTAAGTCACCATTAAGTGTAAGTGTATTTTAAAAAACCAATATTAATTAAATGTAAAGTGAATTACTTCACCAGTTAAATTTTACAATTATTTTTAATATTTAAAAACCCTATTCCAAGTAAAATGTTAACATGTCAACTTTAAAAGTTACATAATAATTTAGAAATTATTATATTAATAATACTTGATAGAAATGTAGTACATCTTCATATTAAATACCTTAATAAATAAATAAAATTACAGTGAATTGTTAGAGGAACGTCTTATTTATACTTAAATGTATTAAAATTAAGCTAATTTAACATATTAATAATATGTTAAGTTAATAATAATTTAACAAACCCTTTAGTTATCCACAAGAGTGACATGCACACCTGATGTTTCCATCCGTTGTAACCGTTTTGGATCACAGTAAATTAAACAATTCCCAACTTGATTTGTCTTTTGATTGATAACAGAGTTCTCTCCGTCTTCATAAAATGTAATACCTGGTTGAAGAGCATATTTTTTCTTTTCCAGTCGTTCTTTACTAGCAAACACATCGTGCCTTTCTGTTTTCTTCCATAAATAATAAAAATGAACAAGTTCACCAACTGTTCTTGTAGTCACTCTGTGCTGTTGAATCAGATAGAAGTTTTTGTTGAAACAACGAATACCATTTTCAAAATTTTTGCATTCTTCTTCCGACCACACCATCATGGCTCTTCGACCAAACATTTGATCATTTAATGAAACTCGACGTAATGCTTCTTCAGTATTAAATCCGCATTGCAAAAGTAAAAATAAAGCGTTTTCATCATCTCGTATATGCTTACCTTTGGGTAACATATTTGTACCGTGAGAAATTTCATGAATTTGATGAAGATAGTCAGCAATAACTGCATCGGTTGTATTATGAGGGTCCCAGAGAAGTTTGTCAACATTTTGGTATGGTGGATCATCTCCATACTTGGACAATCCATCAGGAATTTGTGCTTGATAATCACTACCAACCATTATAGTTTTTTTTTTCACTTCATCAAAATCACTACCATCACTATCATCAGTAGGATCAGAATAATCCGGGCGATCGTTTGTTACTCGCTTCGACATTTTTTCGAGATTTTAAACCTAAAAAATTAAAAATATATTTGTTAATTACGTACATTGTATATCAAAATATATTTGAAATGTTACCAAACAAAATAACATTAGAATTGTTTTGTAAAAATAAAACACCTATATTCTTATTAAACAAATATTTATTTGTGTGATATACAATTGATTCTAGAATGTATATTATATTCTATTATCAATGATAACTACAATTATATAATTTTAAATATAATTACTGTTTAGTATTTTTCAAGAGAAAGCTTCTTTTTTGAAGTACATCCAATAGCAGTTATTAAACTAATTTCTCCATAAACAAATTCAGGATCCTGGTGCCCAAATTGGAAATCAAATAATAAATTAATAGTAATTCGTAACTTTGAAGTCTTGAGTATCAAATAATTAAATAACCAAACATCGAAATGTCAAATACTGAACTATTCAATATTTATTTATTAAAAATAAATGTATAAATTAGTATATATGGAAGATGAAACTAGTAATAGTTATTAAGTATCGAAGACCGAAGTATCGGAGAATAATAATTCAAGTATTCAAGTATGAAACATTGAAACTATAAACTAATAATTGTTTATAAACAATGCAATGCAAATATGCAATCGTACCAAATTTCTAGTTCCTGATAAACATATGTTTTTATTTTGTTGTCGATTTAATTTTGATAATATTATTTCATGGAATAATATAATTAATTATTATACAAACTTCATGATAAAATAGATATATCCACGAAGATTAGAGAATAGATTTTCAAAAAAATCTCCTCATTCCGACACTAAAAAACGTCGCCAAAACCATACAAACGTTTCCGCCTTAAACTTTCAAATCACCGAAACCCTCTCATCCAAAACCTCTCTTCTCGAACACTCCCGGGCGACCCTGGCTGACGTTTAAAGCGTACCTGGTGTCATGACCTACTAGTCCACCATCCCGCCATGAAGTGCTATTAATGAATAGTCTCTTCAACAAGTCAACCATGTCCAATTACCAATATATTATCCCTCCATTGTACTTATTGTAAATATTTTTTTATGCAGATTGTACGAATAAAAAACAAATATGACAAAAAAAAAAAATCTTCATTAAGCCTATACTAATATTTTTGAGTACGCCTATACTAGTGACCTCATCCATTTCAGAAACACCCTGTATACATCTCTAATCTTCATCGATATACACCGCGGCTTCAGATAGATACACGATTAAAGATATATAAATAGATTTTAATATATATAAATATCTTAGTCCGTGGATAGATTCTATCTAAAGCACGATTAAAGATATTATTAATCTAAGACCGTGTCTAAAGCCGTGACCACAGATATGTATAAAACATATATATTTATATATCTGTGGTCATGAACTAAACAAAAGAAAAAAATCAAACAAAATAGATGATAAGGTTTTTCTACTTATGTTGATAACTGATAAAATGTATATTATTCATTTTATCATAATATCACGACAAATATTAATTTGTCATGCATAAATGCATAATAATAACATGGCATATTGGTAATTTGGCATCTTAGTTGTATATTATTCTAATTTAATTAAATAATAAACTGTCTAAAATAAAAATTTGTTACAACTCTAGTCAATACTCTATATATATATATTAATATATTTTGTAACTACATCATAAATAATGGGTAAGAATTAATTGTTTTTATTTAGGTTCGACTATAGAGTATATTCTATGGACGTTTAGTAATAAGGTTGCAGTAAATAATTACCTTTAATAATAATATATTTGTTCATTTTTAAATGCTCATATCCGAGGATAAATAATATAAGTAAAATTAAAAATATCTAGTAAGACAGAGACAGTGGTGGATTTAACGGTAATTTATTTAGCAAATGCAGACGGGACCTTCTCCTAATATGCATACACGAGCAACGGTCCCACCCATATAGTAATAAATTTTTTTTAAATTTTTACCATAAAAACAAATACATTTTATCTTGCAAACTGCAATATTATTTATTATTGTTACTTATTAGATTAATAAAAACAAAAATCTTGTAAACGTATAGTACTGATGCATTTTACCCCTCTTATTAATTTGCCAACTTTATTTAAACCCTTAAATCCGTATCTGGACTGAGACAACACTAATTATGGGTATAATGTCCTCTTAATAACTAATTAAACTTGAAATTTAGGTTAAAAATCATATTTTATGGATACCTACCTTTAAAGTATTATGTAAGATAAAAGAGAAAACATTCTATGTTATACCATCTTACTAACCCGATTTCGAGAAGATCAATGTATTATTTTTTCTGCGGTATTAACTTGTTTAAAAATTGAATTGTTTTTATGTTATTTATAACTCCACATATTGTAATGATAATTAATCACATCACTATTTAATTTTAGATGTGTCACCAAACCCAACAACTTCTCAAGCAAATGAAACTGGAAGTCAGTATCCAGAAGTAAGAATTCGTCAAAATCCACAGACTCATGTGCATGATGGAAATCAAACTGAACATAGACAACCCCATAATTGGAGAACAAGTATTAAAAAGGATGAAAAGCTGAATATCTGTCGTATTTATTATATTGCAGGATTTTTCTTGTTGCCATTTTTTTGGTTGGTAAATTTTGTATGGCATTATAATGATGCTTACTTAGCTGAACCATTCGAAGAACAGCCTCAATTTCAGCGTTATGTTTTGAGATCTGGTATTGGCTTTATTTTCTGGTCTGTGTTACTTATTGGTTGGGTGTTTTACTTTCAAACGCAAAGGAATTATTATAACTGGGACTATATAACCTTTAATTTCCCTACCGGTTCTGCTTAAATTGATTGTGGACTTAAACTATTCTCTAATCCTAAATTATTTTATTTTTATACCTAATCTTTAATAACTATTAATGTAAAAAATAAAAAAATAATGATTATGTGATTTTTATAACAAAAAATATTATTATTTTTAATTCAATACCTGTTAAATTTGTAGATCAAATATTGATACTGTGCGTTGTATGTAATTATAACTGATAATTTGTTTTAATTAAAAATAAACTATAATTCAATACATACAACTTGGTTCTTATTTATACAGGTTAAGTTATTACAATGTAAACCTATTGAAAATGTGATGATACATTTAATTGAAAAATTGTAAATTGTATATTTACTAGTTTACCATAAAATACTGATCTTATAAATTATCATGACATGATTTCCGACAAAATATTTTAAGATAACTATACAATTGATTATAAATTTTAGTATAGGATGTTAAAGAACAATTCTGACAGTGACTATAGTATGACCCGGTTTACTAATGATAAATCATGATTATAAAGTCCAATGTTCAATTAAATATTATGTTGCTTAAAAATAATTAAATTTATTTTTTATTATTACTGTAGATTGCAAAATCATTATTTCATAAACTATTAAATAATGTTTAGATATTTAACTATTAAATAATTATTCGACTTTATTTTTGTACATACAATATTCATTAATTACCAAAACTGAAACCAAAACAAAAAAAAAACTGCAATATAATTGGTAAACTGTAAATACTAAATAATAATATAAAATCCAATCAATTTATAATCTTCCAAATCAAAACAGTTATGTTATTACATAATTTATATGTTAAGTAATCTATAATAACAATAATTTTAAAAGATCAAAAAATATATAACTATGTTATTACTTATAACTTTTAACAATAGCCAAAAGCTTTAAAAAATTGAATACATTTAGAAAGTCGCATTAAGAATCAAATAATTGTAATTGTTATCAAACTTATTCATTCAATGTTTAACTAACATGTCATCTAAAATTTTAAATGTAAAACATGTGGTTATTATTTTAATAGTGTTTTACTTAAAAGTTAAGGTTATTTAACATTCTTTGTTTTAAATAAAATGTTTAAATAATTCATAAAATAACTTGTAAGTTGCTAAATTTTACACATTTAATCTAAATTATAATAGTAGAATATCTAAATTGTATTAAGCATTTGATTTGTAATTTGTATAGTATTAATTTATTATATTATACCTTAATAATACAATTTTATAAAAAAGTGTTCATAGTACAAATTCTATTTTAATCAATTTCTAATAAAACATAAAAATATTCTGTATTTACATAACTTTTACTAATTATTGTACATTACATTATATTTTAGTAGATTGTTATAATGGGATTATTAGGTATATATTTATGTTATTATTATATTTGCGTATCAACTTTAATCAATAATTATTCACTGTTGTCTTTTTAACTATTTTATTGATATTGTTATTTCGAGATTGTATTAAAGAAATGATTCAATATTCCATATGTTTTTACTAAAAAATATATTTTATCTTTTTACATTAAGCATAACATGCATAAATGCTTGGGCCTTGAAAATAAAAATCAGTAGTTTTATACAACTAAAAGTGTGAACTAAAATAAAAAATAATACTTTATTAATTATAATAATATAATTCAAAATATTTTTGAGATCTAAATTATAAGTAAATTAATAATTTAATTGTGTCCAAAATAAGTAGTATAAATCCCTTTGATACAATGATACAAATAAACAATTAAATAGGTATAAGGATCTTTACTCAGAATGTAATATTTTATTTAGGTACCTATGTCAATAGGGATTTTTTTGATAATATGTTGAATAGGTAACCGTAGAAAACAAAATTTTTTGAAAATAATTATCTAACCGGAATTACGTATAGGTAATTATGTTAATGAATAATATTATTTTATGCATAATAATATTTACAGAGTTTATCAATCAATTTCATAAATTAGTTTAATGATGTAAATACGTACATAATATTATATCATGTATAGACATGAGCACGGCCCTCTATCTGAGGTCGTGAACAAGAGTACCTATAATAACTGGTGATCAATGGTCAAGAAATTTATCACGTGATCGTTAATAACTAATCTGATGAAATAGACCTACAAAAATAATAATAGCTGATATGTAAAATTAAAAAAGTGGGGTGTATAATTTTCTATAAAAACCACAGAACTTATTAGTGTTCAAATCAGATATTGTTGCATTGGCTGAACAATTGTGTTTTGGAAATCAATTTTTATCTTGAAATCTTCACATATACTTGAAACAATGTGTCTCGGTGAGTAATTTTTTGTTTATTTATAATTTTTATATCCTTCGCTATGTGTTTATATAATATATAATAATAATTAGGGTTCGACTTTTGTTGCATTTGCATTTATTTATTAATTTCCTGGAATGTTTGACACAATGCTTTTCAAGTTACAAATGTGTTTCAAGTAACACACTATGCTAACAAAAAACTTTTTTTGGGGCATTTTTCTATTTTAAGAGGTTTTCGGCATATAAGTGGATTTTTAGGACATTATTTAAGTAATTTTTTTAAGTAATTTGTTTAACCTATTTCTAAAAATATTATAAAAAAATTTAAATACACATATTGTACTAAAACAACTAAAGACAATCTGGTTTTTAAATAAAATGATTCACAAATTTATCTAGATTTCTGAAGAAAGTCGTGGTCAATTCCGAGGAATTTTTTCAAGCATTTTTTAGTGTTATTAGATCGTAAATGCATTTTTTAACATACAACATTACCTACTTAACAAATATATTTTTATTTTATATAAAATATCAAGAGTAGACTTTTATTATCATTATACAGTCAATTGTAATTAATATACCTAGTCTAAATAATTTATAGAAAATTGTATATTTTATTTTCTACCTAAGTTATAACATTTGTACTGAATTTAATTTTAGCACAAGAAAATAAAAAATCAGTGGCGATCATTGGCTGTGGAGCAGCTGGATTAGCAGCTCTTAAACACTTTACAGCTGAAGGATCTCCGTTCAAATGTGTGTCATTTGAACAGACTGATAATGTTGGTGGTACTTGGGTATACACTGACAGAGTAGGCAAAGACAAATATGGCTTACCAGTTCATTCGAGCATGTACAAAAGTTTAAGGTATACACAATTTTTCAAAAATATTTATCATTTTTCTAAGACGGTTTTTTATTTTCAGAACGAATTTGCCTAAAGAAATCATGGAACTTCAGGGATTTCCCCATAAAGGTCCTGAAGACAAATCATACGTGGCGGCCAACGAAATGCTAAAATACTTGGAAGACTACGCAGACCATTTTGACTTAAAGAAACATATCAAGGTAATAATATTAATGGATATTTATAAAATAAAAACTAATATTATATAGTAAATAACATATTGTGAGCTATTAATTATTTAATAATCGTATTATAGTTCCATCATCATGTAAAGGAAATTAGTCCTTTAGAGGGGGATCGTTGGCGTGTGACTGTAATTGACTTGCAAGAAAATAATGTGGAAATATTGGAATTTGATGGAGTTGTTGTTTGTATCGGGTAATTAATTTATACATATATAATTCTTTTTTATTTTATAAACAATTTAAATTTTCTATTATTCATTTTTCTAATACTTATTTCAGCAATTACAGTAATCCAGCAGTCCCTGAGGTTCCTGGAATAGAGAAATTTCGCGGAATGAAAATTCATAGCCATGATTACAGAGATTCTTCAGTATTTAAGGACAAAAATACTGTGGTGATTGGTTGTGGTCCCTCCGGATTAGATATATCATTTGATATTGCAAAAGTCGCAGAAAAAGTAATAACAATATATTAATTTGAATTTTTTTTTCTCATTACATTCCAAATATTAGTAAATATTTAAATGATTTTTATCTTAGGTTTACCTGAGTCACCACAACCAGCGTGTTAAAAACATGAAATTTCCATCAAATATGGTTCAGAAAATTGATATTAAAGAAGTAGTAGAAAATGGAATAGTTTTCCAAGATGGATCTTATGAACAAGTTGATTCGATTTTATATTGCACGGGTAAGCAAATACTACTTGTAAATTAAATAAATAAATAAAACATTTTAGCTACTAAAATTAACTTTAATTATTTTCAATATTTTGTTTTAGAAATATAAAGAAATTGGCCTACTATGGCTATAGAGAAATCTTATGGCCTATTTAGGCACATATCATCAAAATGTTCATGTTTCTATACTGGATTTTCTTCATTTGAATGACCTTTCAAAGGTCTAGAACTAATAAGATAATATTTTTAGTTATTTAATTTTTATTTTTTAATCTTAAACTCAACTTTAGTCTTAAATTAATTTATATACATTATTTCACTTGTATGTTTGTATTTTCATATAATTTATTTAACTTTGAGCAGGATACAACTATAAGTACCCATTTCTGAGCCCTGAATGTGGCATTCGCGTAGAGAACAATCATGTAAAGCCACTTTTTAAGCATATTCTGAACATTGAACACCCTACAATGTACTTCATTGGAATTCCAACCAACACCGCTGGTTTCTGTATGATTGATTTACAGGTAATTCTACATAAGAGTACAAACTAAAAACACCACTAAATTCTAATACTTTTTAATCTTATTGAATAAAATAAAATGTGTTGTAATATGTTTAACACTTTGATATACATATAACTGAGTTTTATTTACAGGTACAATTTGCCAAAACATTTTTAGAAGGGCGAGTGAAATTGCCAAGTAAGGAAGAAATGATTGAAGATACACGCCTAGACGTAGAGTCAAGATTAGCAAGTGGATTACGACCTAAAGAACTACACATGATGGGTCGTAGGTCAAAGGATTATTACGATTCACTGGCATCTTTATCTGGACTGGAATCAGTGTCACCCGTTGTTCTACAAATCTACTTTGATGGAATTGATAGATTTATGTGTGATTTCTCACACTTCAGAGAAGACAAGTACAAATTACTGGATAAAGATCATTACATGGTTCAATTTCCAAATGAAGATGAACCAGTAATGAGGAGACAAGAGATTGTTTCAAATTAAGTTTTTGATTATAGTTTGATTATAATTTAGTAATAAAACATTCATAGTTTATATGCGTGTAGAGTATACCAATACAAATGGTGTTATAAGATAATTTAACTGTAATTAAGTTAGTTTTGTATTAAATAATCGAACTGATTTGTATTAAATTAAATTTGTATTTGATATTTTTTGTACTAGTTATATTTTTGTTTTTATTTTTTTTTTATTTTTTAACAATTATATTTGTTTTTTTTACACTTAAAATTGTGTTGTTTTCATTACTAAGGTATTCTGATAATATTTATAAGAAGTATTTTATATTGAATACAATCCATCCACGACACTAGCCAATCTTTATAATATATATGTATACTATCTGAAAACTTATTTTAAAAACATAACCAAATTATTTATGAATTATAAAAAAAAAGTATATTAGTGAAGATAATAAGAACATTTAATAGCATTAAATAAATTGTAAAAACATTTAGGCAGCACAATGGCCTATCCCTCTACATAGAGATTTAATTATTTTGAAATCAACTTGTAGGTATACAAATATTACTCTAGACATTATAATACAAAGAATAATTTATTAATTTCCTTCAATTAATAACATTAACAATGTAAGTAAGAAATCATTCATAAATTGTTTAACTTCAAAAATACAAGTTAATTAAAAACAGGAAAATAACGTTTGTTTTGTATTTATATTATAGTTATGGGTTGCCAGGGTCGCCTATTATTGCTACTTTACAAATCTAATATTTTTAAGCCGTGTTCTCTAGATAATATTCTTTTGAATTATTAGGTAAGTAGGTAGGTATGGAAATGCGTTGACCACAAAAATATTTTTTTTAAGGATTAGCCTTGTCTCCTAATATAAACTTGTATAATTTATAAATCCATGTTTATTGATAAATGGATAAAAATTGTTTTTAATAATACTTACCATTGAGTAGAGGTACCTACATGGCATCAAGAATTCGAGTCTCGAGATGTATACTTTCCAATTAAGTAATATCTACCTAGGTACTAGACAGTGCTGGTGTAAAACTTTAAAACTAGGTATATTTAAATTAAGCTAAGTGGAAAATGCAACGAAAACAGAAGTTATAATTTGACTATAATAAATTAATAATTTGAATTAGGTATTGATGAAAAAGTCAAAAAAATATTGTGTACCTATTTTTATTGTAATTTTAATTTTGTATTGATAATCTAATAATTTAACAATGAATTACAACATAGGTGCTTAGTACCTATTTTTGTTTAGTCAGGACCGGCTCAAGCGAAAATAGTGAACTAGGCGAAATCAAATTTTGCCGCCCCTAATAATATAATATTATCAGTATTTTGAAAATGCCGCCCTCTTATCGCCTACCTCTTGAGCCGGGCCTGTGTTTAGTTGAATAAGTAATAATTACTTAAAAGTGTCCCTATATTAATAATAATAAATAGTAAACACCTAAATAATAATCATAACAAATATATGTTTTTCTTGATCTCCAAATTTCCGGGAGTTATATACCTATTGTATAAAACAGTGGCGTACTGATACTATTATATTATAAATTATAATTTATAACTTTTTATATACCTAATTTATAAATTATTATTCTATAGGTTAGGTTATTCAGACAGCGTGGCTCCTCCAAATGGGGTAAAATCATGATGATGGTGATTAATAAAATATTATTATTATTTTATTTTAAATGTAAGACATTACATTTTGGTTTTCTATGCATAATTAGTATTAAATCTGTTGTCTGATATACGATATTACGATATAGGTACATAATTGAAAATTGATGTATTTATAATATATATTTATGTCTTATTATGGATATAGGTAGGTACATTATCTTTCTGTGTCCTTATAATAATTTGAAAGACACCAAAATTTGAAGTCGTGGGAATATGGGATGAAAACGTTTGAAATTTCGAATACCCATCTGCAGTATAAGTGGTATACGTCCTTGAGTAAGTTACGAGTAGTATCGATGTTTATAAATACTACTAACTAGGTAGTATAAATGGTAGTATGTTCTAGAAGAAATGATTGCAAAAGGTCAACTTAAAAAGTTAAAAGATCAATAGATAAGTTCAATTGATCTTATTCGTACGCCGCACTAGTATAAAATATTAATATTAAAAAGTATATTATAGGTAGGTACCTAACACGTGTCACGTTACACGACCAAAATAAAATATATCTGTCCACTTAACTACCTATTGAATTAAAGTACCTAATCATTATATTATTAAAAATGCACATAGACAATAGCTATAATATGTAGTAGGTAATTTAAATTATTATTGTTACTAATTATTATTATATTTAATTACTTAAAATTAAAGTTCATTATTGAAATATATCGTAGTGGTTCATTGTTGTCGGCCACAACAATACGTAATATGAATTATGATGCAACTTTTGCCATTGGTTACGGAAATAAAATTGCATTTCTAAGGAATATTTTTAAATGAAAGGAAATCATGCCGATGCCAATTTTCCAGTAAACTAATAGGTTTTTATACTGTATAGGTAGGTACACTAAAACCGAGAGAGCCGATCGGCATACCTATCGATATTTTATTTTTTATTTTTTGAATAAGAACCATTTATTATATAACTTAACATATTTTAACATTTGATCAATAATAAATATATGGTTTATCAACCTCCTGTAAGCAATAAATCTTGTGTTGGGGGTTGAGAGTTATAATATTTAATAATAATATATGTGGATAAATTTAGATTGAGTAATGTAAAACATATGACATCAATTACATATTAATTAAAAATAAAATCATAAAAGTACAAAAAACGTTTTAGGTATTACTTAATAACTAAAATATGAGAGACATAGCCACATAGGTACATGATAGAACATAATATAAGTGAGTTAGGTACCTACTATAAAAATGAATATGAATACCTATACTAGATATTATATAATTACAATACAGACGTAATACATTTAAAAACGTAATTAGTCTTGATTTAACTATTTTTTCAAGAATTTTTGCAAAATTGGTGATTAACGATATCGGCCTGTAGTTATTTAAAACTTGTCTATCTCCGTTTTTAATGTTATTAACGTATTTTATGTTTGTTCATGTTTTTCCGAGCAAGAGCAAAGTCCAGTTATACATTTAGTAGGTATAGGTGCCTATATCGTATATTCGTATACAATATACAAGTAAAAATAAATAAATGAATCATCATGAAGCGTCTGAGACACACCAGGCCACCCCAATTCCTAATGATTTATTTTACAGTTAGATAACTACATAAAGAACGCCCTTCCCCTATTATGTGCAGATGACTATGTGAATAGTGTGGTACTGTGGTGTAAGCTTTAAACATATAAACCAGATGCCACCGATATCAAACCAACTGAAGTACTCAACTTCAAGATTTCTGATCATCTTGAAACTTCCCATATTGAACTCAGCGTGCAATATATAGGCGATGCCGATAGGTCATCACTAAGGAGTGGATTTCAATGCAAATTGCATTTTTTTTTTCAATGCCATTAAATAAAACTTTCCAATAGCACAAAATTCGTTTCAAGGTACATCAGAGACTTAAAAAATGAAACTTTTATTTTGAGTTTTGCGTCATTTTAAGTGCATTTTTAGGGTTTTAAACTTTTAAAGCATATTTTAAATATTTTAAAATACCTAACTTAACTATAAGCTAATATGGCTATTGCAATATTATACCCTCCTAATGGTGAAATGTTGATTTCTAGTTTCTTCAAAGTAGGTATTATAACTTATTAATAATATAATAATCCTCATATAAGTATAAGACAATTATATACCTACTTACCACCTTAGTAAAGCCACATAAGTATTCTTCAAATCTATAATATAATATTGTGGATGTGAAGAGTAAAGAATCATACATTAATGTAACTAATCTAAGACCAACGTAGGTACCTACCTATCTAAATTTAAGATAAAAATAAGCTATTGTTTTTATAAGAGCATATGTTTTTGATCTTTTAAGCGTTCGACGCAGCATATATATTATTCATTATTTAGTACATTTTTAGAGAATATAATATGACTGGCGACTGCGTAATAGTTAAATTATTATTATCATATTTTAACACGTGCTCATACCACTTGTCTGAATATTTTTTAATATAGGTGAGATTTAAAAGATAGTTTATTATCCCTGTAAGTTAATTTAATCGATAAGTGCCTACCTAGTACCTACAATCTACATTCAAAAGAAAATGTTAAAAATCACGTGATAAAAGCCAATCCCGTGATGGCGTAATAGTGATCAAAGCATAGGTCGTTGAATGGATCTAATATGTTTTTACGATGACTGATTACTTCTGTACAGAATAAATCATTTAGGTAGGAAACTACTCGAAAAATAAAATGACTACTTCAAATGTTATTACGTTTTCACCAATTATTCTGTTATTGTATTGTGGATAATGGATATCCGAACTGACATTGTTTATTACACGTGGTAGACAAAATACATCGATTAAAAAAAATAATGATGCACACCGGTAAGTTCGAACACTACCTAATCATTTTATTTAATAGTATTTGAGTTAATTACCAACCTATTTAATAATGCTCTTATCTTATATTTTATTTATTCAAATCTCTTATTGCTTGTAATTGGAATTTTGTTTTGTACTTCTTACGATTACTAATAATTAGCATACGGTTACATTGGGGTCATAAATCGTCAAACGTCATAATAGGGCGGTGAATGGACATGCCGCATAATACATGTAATATTATTAGAATATTTTATATTATATATTTATATACCTGCACATATCATATTCAGGTACATATAAGTAGGTGCTAGGTACTAGTGACGTAGTTTTAGATACTAGTTAAACAAACATTTTATAATATTTTTTTAAATGCGCGTCAATGGTGGATGTATTTCATTATTTTATCATGTTGATTTTTGATACTTTTATAGACTCCCAGTTTGTTATAATTTATGATACCCAGTAGATAGGACATAG